TATTAGCTTGATACATGTCGGTTAAATAAAATCGTCATCATGATGGCTGTTCAGTCATGTGAATAAATACAGACATTACAGATATAAAATGTTATTTTCAGGCATAGACTGGTATATGTTTCTTGTATTTAGCGTTTACTTGCCATAAAGCGAATACAGTTGCAATACCATGAAAAACGTGTTACTTTTCATATATTGTAGAATGTTTTTATTGCTTAACATTAATTACTGAACCGTGTTCAGAAATAGTGACAATATAGGAGACTATCAAATATAACATGATATCAACTCAAGGTTACCTTATCTATAAAATATAATAACATACTCACATAGTCTAGGTTACCCTATCTATAAAATATAATAACAACATAATATCAGCTTTAGGTTACCTTATCTATAAAATATAATAACATAATATCAACTCTAGGTTACCTTATCTATAAAATATAATAACATAATATCAACTCTAGGTTACCTTATCTATAAAGATACTCTAGGTTACGGAATCTATAAAATATAATAACAACATGATATCAACTCTAAGTTACCGTATCTATAAAATATAAAACCAATATAATATCAACTCTGAGTTACTGAAGTTATTATTAAAATATCCGTTAGCTACTTGAGTTTTCAAAATGGCCGCTATTTTCCAAGATGACTGATGTTTCGGGTTTTCTTTCACAGAATTTTACCAACTTGACCGATTCGTCGGGTGTAATGTGTTGTCAACAATGTCTGTTCGTCTGATTTTGATAAAACTTCAAAATGTTTATGTCCCACATATCTCGAGTAAGTTCGATTTTTGTGCGCATCAAACTGCAACTTCTTTCGTTATGATCTGTATTCTTTTTACGTATAATTATGAAATATCTGCTATGGTTATGAATCCTTCCGAGGCTACAATTTTTGTTCAGAAACAGATGCAACTAACAATTTATGTTATTAACGATGAAAAGATAATGGAGGAGCTAGACCCCTGAACACTCTAGATGAAACTGAACATACAGATTAAACGTTCTTGGGCAGGAGAGGGGGGGGGGGACAATCGGACCCTCCGTTCTGGTGCTATTTAAGCAATCTAGAGCCCCCAAGTTTCTTCGATTTTGATGAAATTTAAAATATGTTACGAATCAACCATATAAGGCAATTTGGTTTGACTTTACCGCAAGCAATGAAATTTTGTCGCCTGAAAGTCGACCATCCTGGATTTTCGAAGGGATAATGGGCTTTTTTTAAAGGAGTAATCACCGATACGTATCCACTTGAAACTTGTATCCACAAAGGATACTATGAGGGAAAGTTTGCCCGGAAAGTTTTACGTCCCATCCGCATGATTCCACAATGTACCTTGAAAGATCCCCAATCCTGAAGGACAGGGGGCCTGACAAGGGACAACGTGTACACATTGACGTGCACATAAAAGTTAGCATTCGAAATAAGAGTAGGTCTTAGTGCCGCTGTCCGGGCAAAATTGCCCCATAGCACACTGTCCGTCTGTGCAGAACAGTGGGACGTTAAAGCCCACTTCATGTCATTTATAAGCAGAGATTTTTCGATGCTTTGGGACACGATAACTTTGAATCTAATTGATGACACTTAGTTATTAATGTTGCGCATATTTTTAATTCAGACAATAAAAATAAACAGACTTACTAGCCAACGCTAAACACAAAGCAGTGACAATCACCAAAAGTCTGGCACGCTTCATGCTGACAGTTTAAGAAAACGCTAGATCTGAACGTTTACTGAACCTTCCTCTTAATGTTTGCAGGTGGTACCGACACGTGTATTTATTTCTTCCGCTCCTACGGTTCAATGTAAATGATCTTAAAGAGGCGTTTTTATTTACCCATGCTGTACTGTTGTCGTATATTGCCATTATTGACTGATTGACTGACTGACTGACAGTAGGGTTTTAGATCTGCTTCGACGCAGATAAATTGCGCCAACCCTCCAGAGTTTATAAAGCATCGATGCTTAGTTTACACAGTATACATTTAAGTATGTTTAATTAAGGTCGAAATCCGAAAGTAATTCCAACCAACTGATATGCCTGATACCGTAACACTACTCCTTAACCCAGACACAACTTTATTCTATTGAAGGACAGAAAAAGAGCAATAATAATGAACTCCGCTTGATGTGTGAAAATTGCAACCTGAGATAAAATTACAGTTTCAGGCTATATATTACGTATATCATATTCTACTCGACTTAATTTTAAAAAAAATCTGTCGCGTGTAAGCATTGTGCCCTGTTCTTACTTGTGCAGTGTAAACAGCCAATGAAACACACAGTTTTTCCAATTATTCCAAGACATCGTCCACTGATCTGATCTATCTATAAACTCACTGGGAATCAGAATCATAAAGACGAAACGAAATAAAAGATATAATTGGAATTGGGTTTGGGAGGTTTGTGCGTCAATAATGTTGTAGTGTATATTTTTACGTAGATTTAAGTTTATAATTGGTGGAGATCCCTGTGTATTGTTTGAAAAGTCTTACCCGTCACAATACTATACTAAAATAACATACAATAAAGGTCTCTGGTGTCTCCTTAATACCTCAATATTTTTATATAACAGTGCTAAGGTATTATATATCAACGCCATCGTCGATTTATTATGTTACTTTAATTTTAAAATTATTACGCAATTTAAATTTTAGTACATTAAATAGGTATGCAAATTCATACTCCTACACTAAGCTTCAAATTGTTCAAAGTAAGTAGAACATGTTCATGCATAATATATAATTTATGCGGTAACATTTGCACACGTTGTGTTTCTGCATATGGGTAGATTTGCTTTTGTTAATCAATTTGACCGAATGTGAAGATTGTACTACTTTATGCAAATTTACCCCTTGTTTGTTTGGGTCAAGGTGAAAATTTGTACCTGTGCAGTCACGAAACCCCCTTCTTTCGGACATCTAGGGCTTCTTCAACATTCTACAGGCGACAGTTCATGGTCGAATCATCCACAGATGCCGTTATATGTTTCCAAATTCATTCTAAATTTGTCTTACCAGTTTGTGCCTTCAAAGTGTTGCAAAACAACACTGTTGACTTGGATTTTTGTCCGATACACATGTCGTTTGAACTAACCGAATCTGGGCATGTCCTATTATACGAAATCAAGGACACCTTCTACAGCTATGGATGCTTTGCAGTACGAAAGCACAACAAACATACTTTTGCACACATACATACCTCATTTCCATCCGTAATCAAAGCTCAAACTGGTCTGTAATATCGGTTTATTCTTTAATCGTCTAGTTTATCATCTAATAGACACATTTTAACCCTTATTTTTAATTTAAATAAGGAAAATACATACTGACCTTCTGGGAACGTGAAGCTTTAAACTATGGGTATGTAAAATAATTTCCATAGTACGTTCGACCTCTCCCACAACTAAACCTCTTATGCGCAAGCGAATTTTTGAAATAAAATTTAACAATAAGTTAGTCCCGAAATAATCAAATTTGTGTCGAGTGGAAGTTAAACCCCATTTCTCTCTCCCTCTCACGTTCTTAATTACCTTGCAACGCCTAAAGTCCTGGCTTAACGAAGTATTCAATTTTGTTTCGGGTTGAAGGATGTAATAGATACATATGTGTCTGTGGTGTAAGTTATACATTTCAGGAAAGCGAAATACTACTCGGGGTTACTTACTGAAATTTAGGACGAGGGATCTATGGATGTCCGATAAGGTTGATGCAGTCGTTGTAATTCACGTTTGAATCGGGGCTCCATCCAAAATGGAGAACCGTTATCACATTCAACGAGCAGTAAGAAAGAAAATTATAATCAGTTACTAATCGCACCACTTTAAACATGCTGATGTTGAACAAAGCATTATCTAAGCTCGTTCGCTGCGACTCCTTGAAACCCCAACCAATTGTTTATAGTCAAATAAAGCCCACTCGAAAAAATGTATTAAACCAGCTTCGCACAGTTTTAATTTCTTAATGACTTTAATGGTTTTAAATAACTGTAAGCAATGTTAATAATTGGGTGATTGTTATATATATTATTAATGTAGCCAAGCGTCTAACTCAATATCATCCAAAGTCTTCGACATTGAAAACACGAATTATTTATTTAATCAATATTGTTGTTGTCATCTTACCGAGAAAAGATGGGCTTCTGATATCCAATATTTAAGATAAAATAAATATTTTACCATTGGTACACCAATCGTGTACCATAATTCATTTTAGCACCATTTGTAACCAGGGCTTCGAAGATCGAGGCTAGACACAGTTCATAAGTCATGTCAAATGGTGACGCCACATTTTTATCTGGAGCATGCGCAATAAATACTATGGTTGTGTAGACTGGAATTACCAGACGCTAGAAATTGCCATTCGATTGAGACTTCTTGCGTATTTAGAAATTTCAGTAAAAACAGAAACGATTGAATGTAAATCTGTTTATATACATTCATATAACATTATTATATGCGTTGCGATCCATTTGTATAGTAAGTGCAGGAGGACCGCATTGCACGCAAAATAAAAATCTATAAGATAAACCTGCGGACAAGACAGAATATAGACATTGCAAAAAATAAACAAATATCAATTCAAGTGAATAGATCCGGGGCCAGCCGTAAAAAAGCGTCTACTGCGTTGTACCATCCCGGGCCTGTAATGGTACAGACTTCACTCAAAATGAAAAAAAAAATGATGAGTTACAAAAAAAAGACAACAGAAATAATGCGACCGATCTTGACAGTGGTCATCTCTTCAATTTCTAGTTCCCAAATATTAGCGATTTAGCTCCTTTAAGTGAAACTCAATAGAATATCGTGCATTATAACTTGTCATTCATTAGCTAATGTAATGCAATGTAGTATATACTAATGGATATAGGTTTTTCTAGATTATTAGATTTTTCCTTATAAACAAATACATAACGTAATGGGTTTATTCATATAACATAATAGACGATTATTATTTACATGACAAATGAAGACTAGAAGTAGCCAATATTTGTGTGTTAAAAGATCAGACCAACAATGTGACTGCATTATCCCAAAAAAAAACCATTTTATTAGGTATGTGATCTTATCGAGCGAGAGAGTGTATCGGGTGTTCTATTTAATTGATCATCCCCATCATATTAAGATAAAACTCGTTTGTATACAGTGGCAAATACCGTATCGGCGTCAAGGGTGATAATGTTGCTAATAATTATATTATGTAGTTTGTTATGGTCTAATTAAAATTCTACCACATATTCGTTTCGTTATAGATTTTATGTTGTTCCATTTGCACTACACCAGGGTCTAACAAACTGACGCGAAATGACCTCTGACATATCTGGTCGAAAGTATGCCATTCGCTTTTTCTGCGTTACCGTCAAAAGGTATATATTTTCACTGACTTGAATCGGCAGGTTACGTCAATAAGTGACGTGTTCGAGATGTCAATCACTGTGGAAAAAATGGGAATTCCAGTCCGGTAAAAACAAAACGTATAGTACCGGTATAATGAATTAACTAGTATATCCACAGACTGGAGGTCAAAAAATTTAATATATTGTTTTTACAAATCAACAAAATACACATATTTAACACGATGAGATGGGGATTACCTATATATATCGTACCGGTATTTCACAAACAAAAGGGAATGTTTTATTACATTCACAATCATTGAAAAGTACTTCTTTACTATCGGCAAAATAATAGGTATTCAAACAGAATTCGCTTCCTGCATAATCCGGTTGGTGTGGCGTCCACTTAGAAACCTCTACACCGTTAAACCAGTGGTGTTTCGCATTGTGGGACGGCCATGTTCCTCCAAAATAATGAGCAACAACTGAAATAGAAATACATAAACCACTAAAATAAAAGGAAAAATAGTTTTAAATAATTACACAGCCCCATATATTTAAGGCAGTGGCTATTTGCCACATGTGGTAAGCAAGAATTTCTGAATAACCTTACGACTACAGACCACAATTGTTACCCGATTTTAATGAAACTTACAGATTATGATAACATTGATAACATCTCTGAGTAGCCAAACTTTTTGTCACTTCCGGTTGGTGGTTTCCGAGATATGGGGGTTACCAAACATCTGATGTGGCACGGCTACAGACAACAATTATCAACCGATATCTATGAAACTCACAGACTATGATAATATTAATAATATCTCAGAGTAGCCAAAATTTCGACCACTTCCGGTTAGCGGTTTCCGAGATATCAGGTTACCACACATTTCATGTAGCACGGGTACAGACCGCAATTACCAACTGATTTCAATGAAACTTGCAGATTATAATTTTTTAATAATATCTCAGAGATATCAGGTTACCACACATTTCATGTGGCACGGCTACAGACCACAATTATCAACCGATATCCATGAAACTTACAGACTATGATAATATTAATAATATCTCAGAGTAGCCAAAATTCCGACCACTTCCGGTTAGCTGTTTCCGAGATATCAGGTTACCACACATTTCATGTGGCACGGCTACAGACCGCAATTATCAAACGATTTCAATAAAACTTGCAGATTATAATTACATTAATAATATCTCAGGCAAATTTTCGAGATATCAGGTTACCACACATTTCATCTGGTACGGCTACAGACCACAATTATCAAACGATTTCAATGAAACTTGCAGATTATAATTAAATTAATAATATCTCAGAGTAGGCAAAGTTTCTCGGAAACCGCTAACCGGAAGTGGTCGAAATTTTGGCTACGAGATATTATTAATATACTATTCAAAAAAAGTAGGGGATATTTGATTTTTAAGTGTTATTAAAGTCACCTAATGAAACTGACGAAGAAACAAATGAAATGAAGTTCACATTCATCGATTTATTCCAAATGATCGTTAGACTAAGTAAGGCACAGACTGACCATTATAAGGGTAAAATGATACCCGGGGTCAAACAGCAAAGTTACCACAGCATCACAACCAAGTCAGTAACGGGTAAATCCTCCTCTGTTTGCCAAACAAGCATTGATCCGACGTGGCATACTCCTAATGAGACGTCTAAGGTCATTTTGGTCTAGATTGTCCCATTCCTGTTGCAACGCAGCAGCAAGTTCTTGGACATTGGCAGGACGTTGTTGACGTTGACGTAACCTCTGTCCAAGCATGTCCCAGACATGCTCGATGGGGGAGAGGTCGGGACTCAGTGCTGGCCAAGGTAATGTGGTGATGTTCTGTTGTTGGAGGTAACCTGTAACGATCCTGGCCCTGTGACATCTTGCGTTGTCATCCTGGAAGATGAAACGGCGGCCATGACGTCGTGCGAACGGCACAACATGGACTGCCAAGATGTTGTCCCGGTAGTACTGGCCTGTAACACGCCCTGCAACAACATGTAAAGCCGTTCTTCCAGCAACAGTGATGCCTCCCCACACCATAACAGAACCACCCCCAAATCGATCATGTCTGATGACGTTAACGTCTTGGAAGCGCTCGTTTCGACAACGCCACACCCTTCTACGTCTGTCCAAAAAATCAACAGTGAACCTTGACTCATCTGAAAACATCACATTGCTCCAGCGTCGATTATCCCAGTGTTGACGATCCCTACACCAACGACGTCTTGCCTGAATGTGATGATCTCTCAAACAAGGGATCACGCGAGGACGTCGGGCGCGAAGGTGACCCCTATGCAGTCGATTCCGAATCGTCTGGCCACTCACTCTCACACCAGTGTCTGTTTGAAGACGAGCGCTGATCTAATTTGCTGTGATGACACGATTTCTCAAGGCCAAGGTACGGATAAATCGATCCTGGGCTTGAGTTGTCGCCCTTGGTCGACCTGAGCGTGGTCTGTCCTGTACAGATTGTGTATCACGGTATCTGGACCATAGCCTGCTTATGACAGACTGAGAAACATTCATCGTCCGCGCCACAACCACCTGTGTTGTGCCGATCTGTAGCATGCCAAGGGCACGTAATCTTTCATTTTGGGTAAGCCGACGCATATCAAAATTTGTTTTCTGGTCACTAAAACAATTAAACTGATGTTTCCACCCTGGAATTCAATGCCACAATGACTGTAACATTCAAAGTCAGAGTCGTGCAAATCTTGGGTTGGACCCCCATGATGATCCCAAGCATCACATGCATTCCATGCGGTAGCTATTGGTGCGTTTGGGCGTCACATGCAACTGGAAATGTTTCTTCTGTTAGGTTCTATAGTGACTTTTTTCGTAGTCATTTGCATATTTTAGTATTATGCCCCAAAATCAAATATCCCCTACTTTTTTTGAATAGTATATTATCATAGTCTGTAAGTTTCATGGACATCGGTTGATAATTGTGGTCTGTAGCCGTGCCAGATGAAATGTGTGGTAACCTGATATCTCGAAAACCGCTAACCGGAAGTGGCCGAAAATTTGCCTACTCTGAGATATTATTAATGTCAGAAATCATTAGAATTTGTTTCGATTGTTTGTCTCGTGACCTTAAACACTGTCTATAAATTTATATTAAAGGCTCAATACCACTCTTGTTGTAACTGAATAATATGTCCCAATCTTTATTCTAGTCAACAAATTGTACTATTTTACAATATTCCAATTAATTGATGATACAAATTTCATCTTAACACACCTAATTTAAAAAATTGGAAAAATTCAACTAAATGATTTGAAAAGCCTAACGTAAACCTGTTCGAACCCTCTGGTCAAGTAAAATAGGATGTAATGGATAATTTACACAACAGGTAGGACACATAAACATTTAATACTTAGAATAAGGCTATTATTTCAATGTGGGCGTATAAAAACTGTGTTGATCTATCAATAAATTATGTGTTCCACTGTCGACATAGTAAACAAGGCTACTTTCACTTAAAGCTGAACTGCGATTACAAAACTACATAAATAATTAAATAAGAAAAAGTTAACGCCCTAAACAACCGCCATACGTGTTTTCAATTTATAAAACATAGTACATGGTAATCGCTTAGGGGTAACAAAAACACAGGCAGGCCACACTCGCATCCAACATATGCCGTGTCAAGCAAATTGTGCAGATCCGGTTAGCTGGTCAACTACTAATTACCTGCTGACTGACTGAAGTTTTTTTACTATCACTACTATCAGCTTACTGAAAATATTATTGCTACACAATCATTATGTCTGAACAAGTACATATTATTTACTAATTAGATGAAATAAACCAACACGGTGTATTTTTCTTCTAAGACTGACAACTATGCAACAGATAGCTACTTCATAATGGCATCAAACGCTTTACTAACCTAATTACAGAGAGGGAGAAAATGGGGTTTAACGTCCACTCGACACAAACTAGGTCATTTCGAGATTAACATATGGTTTTAATTTTATTTCAATAATTCGCTTGCGCGTAGGGGTCTTTAGCAGTGGGAGGAAACCGGAGGACCCGGAGAAAACCCACGAGGTTGTCACGTACAACCGGGGATTCGAAACCACGCCAGTTGACTCAATGACAGACCTTATGATACAGCACACGCGTGCTAACCATTCGGCCATCCACCCCCCCCTCCCCCTAACCTAATTACACATCAATAAATATTTAAGTGAATAATGAAAGCATTTTATTGTGAATTTATTTTCTGGCTGTGCTTTTCCATCTTGGTGATAAAAGACAAATGCACTAGTTATAATGATTACATCTGCAGATTTAATACTTTTAGAAACCAACGAATTGATTCCTTCGTCATGTAAACTTAAGAAATTATTTTTCAATATTTGATGATATAGACTTGACATAAGAAGGTAGAAACAAAAATCATCAGTTAAAATAATGTTTTTGTATATAAATATTTAACCAAAATCATTAATATTGACCCATTTGGTCTTCAATGGAATTTCTTGTTTACTTACACTAGTAAACGTTTAATGGAAGGGTCCATGTCAAAATTACAGACAAGGTCCGCATACAACCTTAATCTGGCTCTGTTCGAGGAAATCACTCGAAGAAAACGAACCAGTTGACTTTCAAGAAAATTGGTCACTTTGGAGATAATCGATCAATTTATTAAGTCTGTTATTACTGAAAATCAGACAATGTGCCTTTTGTCCGGTCAAGTTCTATACAAACATAGGTTGATAAGCAAAATATGAAGTATTAAAAGCATTGAACCTATTAACTGTAAACCATATAAGCCATTGTGACACTTCTACACCTTTACACGGACCTTTATATGTCATGCATATTTTTTACTCAATGAATGTTAATTAAGTTATGGAACTCGAATTTGACCTGTATCTATCCTTATTACATCTGTAGATCAAATTGAAACTTTGAATCTTGAAAGCATTGCGGCAAAATATGCTCAGATAACATTCGAATGGACAGATCCACATACTGACGGAATGGGCATCTATAGTTAGTCCCCCCCCACCCAGTTTACATATTAGCCAATATAACGCAAAAAAACAATGCTAATAACATTGCTGATATGTACAACAACATTATTGTTATCTTAACGAACTTACGATTGAATCCATATGTATCAAACATGTAGGATCTTTTCTCTTCTGTATCAATAATAGCAAGGTGGCCACCATCCGTTTCACATGTCGCCTCTGACTCACTCATGTTTAAAGGTGTATCGTATATCTTATAACACAGTTTCAATTCACGTACGTCAGTATAGTTTGAAGGACAGGACTCTATAAAAGGGTAAAAAAAACAATTAAGTTACCTTTTTAACAGATACAAGTTCAGATAAGTTATTTGGTAATGAGGTATTTGGTATTTTCTATACCACATAGATGATGAAATTAGAATCTCGTCACTGCTTCGTTTGAGAAAATAGTATAGTGGCTCTAAAATTGAACCTTTATTTGGTGATAAACATAGAATATAATATAATATTAAAACGTGTAGCTTATTAATAAAATCAAAAGGAGATAACCACGACAGAACAGACATGGTCTTATAATCGATCCCTGTGGAAGATCATCGGAATGTTACACTGTACTAATAATGGTTATACTTCGCCGCTACACCCTGTTAAGGTTTTGATGTTTAAGGCATCAGCTATACTTAAACTGATGCTATAATTAGTAAATTTCGGCTTGTTTGCCCGATAGTAGAGCTTATAAATCCACTACAACGTATATTTTAAAATGTTTTAATATTTTTATATCTGTATTTTGTTTAACCAAGATATACAATATTGTTGAAAACAATAATTAACAGAAATTTTATACACCAACAAAAAGAGTCTGTGAAATATAAGTGACTGATTATAAATGGAAAGGTTTGCACCCTTCCATCCCCATTTGCTATATTATGTTTACTTAAATTAGCAATATTGTTATCAATTTATAAAAACACACTACGCCCATACTTTGCATGGAATTAAATATCGCTATATTATGGCCATCTGAAAACTTATTGAATCTTACAAACCTCCACATTTCTCGAATACAACGTTTGAAAACTCGAATTCTTAAATTAGTTGGCAACCAAAATAAAGTTTGTTTACAGTAATGGCGTAACTGATAGATAAACAATTGGTATTATTTGAGAATTTTGTAAGATCCGAAGCTGAAACTCTTAGAAATTATAAATTGATATGCATTTAGTATTTACCCATTGCTACTTTAATAACCTGATATATAGTACAATAATAAATTGTTGTAAATATGTCTTTATCTATTGATCCATTAAATTGGTTTACCTTTCAGATCATGCTCTGAATTATTATGAAGATATTAATTTGCAAAGATTCTAAGAAGTCTATAAAATCTGCGTCAATGGAATATGGTAATCTCCATTTCTTTACTATACAATATGGTAATCTCCATTTCTTTACTATACAATAATATTCTAATATCCATAAATCTTGTATCTTTATCTGGATACAATACCCGGAAAGATAAAACAGACAACAAAACTACATTATTCACCTATTGACAAAACTGTGATCAATAAATGCATACAGACTTAAAGGATGTTCAGTATCTAAGCAGTAAACCTGATTTATTGGGTCTAAAATAAAAAAGAGGTGATTGAAATAACATTTTCCGTCAGTTTCGCATCATTCAGCATTTAAAACTCTGATATTGTCAAATTATTCTAATCATTTGAAAATTGTGACAGGAATGAAAAATGATATGTCCACTCGAAGACATCATCACTCGCCATGATTTAGAGCCCGTGATCTATGCAGACGATACACAACTGTATATTGCTTGAGATACCCGAACCGACTATACTGCAGAATCTCAAATAGAGGAGTCCGTAGACGAAATCCGTCATTGGATGCGAGAAAATTTACTCGCATTGAGTGACGGAAAGACAGAAGTAGGGTGTCGGTTATCGTGCAGTTGCAACTGATGTTCAGATTGGTGATGTCCGTGTCTCTGCGACAGGCTCGATGCGTAATCTCGGTGTGATAATGGACTCGAGTGGAGCCATAGACGCACACATTACTAATGTGTGTTGGGTGGGATCACACTCACTGTGGAGGATATGTAAACTGAGGAAACTTCTCGATCAACCTACCGAACAACTGGTTCTTGCACTTGTGACTTCACGATTAGACTATTGTAATAGTTTGTTGTTCGGATTCTATGGTATCAACTCAAGAAATTACAGCATATGCAAAATGCGGCCGCTCGTTTAGTAGTGCTTCGATGTCTAGAGTGACATGCAGACATGAAACCCATCATCAAAGACCTACACTTGCTTACAATCGAGTCACCCTTTTAGTTAAAAATTCTGTTCATTATTTTTAAACTGATCCACCACAGTGAGTCTGCGCCGCTCCACCTGAAAGAGCTAATTTCTATCAATGTACTTTCATATCGTGTCAGAAATGTTGACTCAGTTCGACTGTGCCACGCAACTCTACGACCAAAGCCAACTAAGGCGTATGGTGACGGTGCTTTTAATGTCTGTGCACCCATTTTGTGGAATAGGCTGCCTGTCATAGAATTTTTTAATTTGTTTGAACTCTTCACTTAAACCACATCTTTTTTTTTAGAAAAGCGTATTTTAACTGAGCACCATTATTGTTATTTTCCTTAGTGCCATTCAATTTACATGTATATCTCATTTTTACCTATGTAACTGTTGTAACTGTTTTAATCGCTATATTAAAAATAGATTAGTATTATTATTATCTAGTTAGAAATCAATAAGCGTAATTAGAAATTTAACAGAGGACCATTATTAATAATTTGTGAATCTGGTAGCTCTGATAAATAGGCGCGGAAATAGAAAATCTGAAAAGAGGGGACTTGGAGCAGATTTGAGATGAATGTGAACATTCCGGACAAAACCGCCAAATTTTCCACAAATGCTAACGTTCCTAAGAAAAAGAAAACTATATGAAAAAAAAAATATAACAATTACCACAAACTATTAGCCCTAATTAGGAAGTAAATCCAGCAACAATCAATAATGAACACCAATTAATTTTCTACTGGACCTGAAAATAATCAGTGTGTTTCAGTACATTCCCTGTCGCAAGTTTGCTCTCTTTGACATGAAGCTAATTGGCCGACATTTTGATTACTAATGGACGATTTTAGTCGAATAAATTAAGTATAGTTCTTTTTTTATTGTGTGAAAATAATATCTTATTTCAAATGGATGAAAACGGATCAGAGACAGCATAGCCCATATTACTCTTCTCGTGGTTAATGTGGTTAATTCATGTAAAGATATTAAATTGTATACACTATTTATAACAAATAAAAAAGACGAAGTGCTGTTTTATAACATGATTAAACATTGTTCAGAAAAGAAAATCCATTAATTATCCCTTGGGTAAGCTTAGAGAATTTTTAGAAATATTTCCATTAACCGGATTAGAACTACATTGCAAAATAGTATACTAATTGTTGAATATGGCGGAAATTCAGGGCAGTGGAGAATGAAACATCAACTGGAGATTAGTTTGAATACACGAGGGACCGGTTGGTGGAGCTTTGTATGGTGGCTGATAGTGGCCATTTTAAATCTCGCCCTTTTCATAACGCGACAACACGACATCACGACAGTATTGACGCAATCATACGACACTAAATTCTGTCGTATCATCGTGTTATTTTTATCGTAACGTCGAGATGTCGACTTATTGTCCTAGTCTCTTTCTACAAGTCACAAAAATACAGCTGTACTCATTACATCATATATAGGCCTAAGTAGTAGATTTGATAAATATAAAAGAGATAGTAGGAAAACGTTGATTAATTATTTGTTTTCTCAAAATAATGAAACATTTTGTGTCCACAAGTGAATTATATTTGGTATTATATTAAAAAAATCTAGAATTACAATAGCAGGACCAAAGTGAGTTAGCTAAGTTAATTCCTTGAAGAAAAAGTGGTGTCGGGAGGTATCGAACAAGTAAGCATTCATTGCCATGTGTACGACACCGACACCCACCAATATTTATAGATGACTGGAGCGATAGTTTAAAAGTGATTTCAGAAGACAGGGTGGGAAGGGGATTGTAAAAAAACCAAATCGGGTCACATTCTGTAAAATCACAGCATTATCATAGTGCAGCACGTCACCCCAATAGTTGCAGGAGTTTTTTTGAATGAGGTGGAGAAAACGATTCGCAGCCTGTCATTGAGTCAACTGGCGTGGTTTTGAATCCCCGGTTGTACGTGACAAGGTGTAGGGTCGCCTGTCAAACCTCGTGGGTTTTCTCCGGGTCCTCCGGTTTCCTCCCACTGCTAAAGACCCCTACGCGCAAACGATTTATTGAAATAAAATTAAACCATATGTTAGTCCCGAAATGACCTAATTTGTGTCGAGTGGACGTTAAACCCTAGCTCCCTCCCCCTCTCTCTCTCTCTCTCTCTCATTTGACATCACTAATGGGATTGAGGCCTAGATGAGTAAAAATAGGCCCAGTAATATCTTCAACTATGAACACACTCTAAAAGCCTCATACCCCCCCCCCCCCCGTCTCTTATTTAGTTTTACAAATAATTCCAGAATCAATAAAATGGTATCAATGATGTTTGATACAACTGGAAAATAATATGTCAAAAATTGATTAAACATGAGAAATATTATTACATATTGAATCCGTATCAGTGATAACGTACATTTACTCAATATGTTCCTTCCAATGGATCATCATTTAACATGAAACAAGGAAAGCAGCGATCGAAGAAAAAGATTTAAAAACACACACATTTCAATATGACAGTAGTGATTCGGTCCTGCATTTACATTCGAGAGTGTCATGCTTTCTTTGAAAGTAATGATTGTGCCAAATTTGAACAAAGTCAGTTTACATTCGCGGCCTATAGGTAGAGTGTTGACAGATCAAACGTAAAAAAACCCAAAGAAAAAACCAGACCTATAAAAATATATTTCTAAAACTCTTTTAATTTTGAAATAATATTGTTTTCGCGTGTGCTAAGTGTTTCAGCGAATACATGTAGTTACAGAAAGGGTCTTGTAGATTAAGACTATAGCGCATGTCATTGTGCAGTTTCAAACTTCCGAGACGACAAGTCGACAAGTCGATGATACGACAAAACCAAACTGTCGTATCATCGACTTGTCGACTTGTCGTCTCGGAAGTTTAAAACTGCACATGCGTCATAGTCTTAATCTACAAGACCCTTTCTACAACTATTCGCTAAAACACTTATCACACGTGAAAACAATATAATTTCAAAATTAAAAAAGG